CTCCAGGCATCTTGACTCTCTGAGTGAGGCAAATATATGCAAGYGTCCAAAACTTGAAGGATAAAGAAGAGAGATAAACAGGATCATGATGTGTGCAGCTTTCACCAAACCTTTCTGTAAAACTGGGATTTTTGCCTATCATTCCACACATATTCTTTGCACAGCTCACTGAAATATGGGATGTRTATGCTTTGTCACATTACAGAGGTATTTTTTAATTTGTAATTAATGTTCTTCCACTCAATGTACATTTACCCCAACCAATGTTGGAAAATTTTTACAAATAAATTGATTTCTGCGCAGTTTTACCACCTCATTACTAAAATTAGCATTTCCCTTAATTATCGAGGGAGCTTGAGGTTTGTAACCCTCCCCACATCAAGAGCTGCTAAGTCACAACTTAATTTCAGTTTTTAGAGCTTGAAGAGGAGTTCTGGAGTTACACTCAGGAGTCACCCACCCACCCCGGGCAGGTGAAAGGCGCCTTCACCTTGTTCTGGGCAGACCCAGCATTGTGTAACTGCTCAGGCTGTGCCAAGAAGGAGCTAATCCTGCCTCTCCACATGCTCCTGCCTCCGCAGCACGGCATTCCTGGCTCTCAGAGAGCYCAGGGAGCTTGTGTGGGCTTGTGAGAACACCCCATTCCAGATTTCAGCAACCGAYCTGTTTGTTTTGAAATCTGAAATCACGTGTGTTTGTTACCATTCCTCCACTTTGCGTTTAACCCTTCAAAAAAACTCAGCTAATGCTGCTCAGTCCTCAAGACCCTAATACTTGTTTCCTGGTAGCATTTTTTCAATACCTCAATCTTTGCCAGGATTCTGTCTGAACTGGCCCTAATCTTCATTTCTTCTTCAAAAGGATTAAAAGGTTCGTAAAAAGGAAAAAAACTTCAGTCCCAAGACAAAGTTTTAACACGCTGGGCTGCTCATTTTAACCCAGCCACTGCCTGAAGTTCATCCTCCCCCTTATATCAGCAATTTAAAAACCACTTGAAATGTAGTTTGGGTTGGAATGACCTTAAAACCCATCCCATTCTACCCCCTCCCACCATCCCAGGTTGTTCCACATGTCATCTCCTCACAACCTTCTTCATGATTGTCATGTCTCAGAAAGAAAACAGGCGCTGGAATGGCAGAAAAACCTTCTAAAAATATGTCAAATATACTTGGGCTTCACCCAGTTCCTCATCAGAACAGAAATCCCTGAGCTCAGCTGCTGCAAGGCTACAAAAATCCTTCAGTCTAAGATTAACAACACACCCCTTCTCAATTTCCAGAATTTAAAAACATCCAAACTGAGTTTAAGCACCACGAGTTGATGAGCAAAAAATTAGGAAAAGTAAAAAACCAGTCTCTCTGGTTTAAATCCAGAGAGAGAAACCTTAAAAGCAGATCTTTATAAAGATCTTCAATTACTGAATTATCTCCTACAAAGTACTAATTATAAAGACATTACAATAGCTGAAAAGGGAAAACCCAGCCTGGTTTAACACACTTGTCAGCTCCAGTTAGCTGCACTCAGTCCTTGGAAGAGTTTTTACCCTGGGCCAGTCTTTGGAATCTCTCTGTTCTGCAAAACAAGAGGGAAAGCAGCTAGAAACCACAAACTGCAACAAAAGCACAGTGAAGTCAGCACTTGTTTCATTTTTTAGCATTTTTTCTCTCGATAAAAAGGCTCAGAGGTGGTTTGCTGGGCAGATTTAATGAATGTTTTGCTTTCCAGAGCCCATKGCTGATTCACAGGGTTGTGCCAGACTGATACACCACTGATCTCTGAGCTCGTATCAGTTACACATCAATTACAGTTATGGCTGCAAGACAGAGTAAACCTCCTTTGTTTGGCCTGTCAAAAAAACAAATTAAATCTTTTTAACAGGTCTTGTTTGGGAAATGTAAAATTACACCACAAGCAAATTGAGAGTTGAAAGAAAAAAAAAAAAAGGCTATAAAGGAACCTGGAGTAATTAGAGTCAATTTGGAGATTTTCCAAAAAATTAATTCCCATAAACATTGCAGGATTTATCTATTCACTTCAATCACAATGAGTTCACACCCTCTCTCTCAGCAGCCGCGGAATGCTGTGAGCAATCTTTGAGCACAGAGTAAATCCTGAGTTGATAAAGAAACTCCAGCCTTGACCTTTGCACCGAGGAGAGGAGAGGGAGCAGACAGCTCAGGAAGCAAACAAAGGAGGGGGACAAGTCATGCCAACGATATTATCCATCCCCAGAGAATCCCTGGAGCTTCTCACATCCTTCAGGGGAGATTCTGATCTCCGAGAGGTCATTTGGGGAAATTTGTGACAGAACTCTGAGCTCTGTCACGATTAATTTAGAGAAAAGGGTGAGCGTTGTCCACACGGTGTAATTTTAATTTTAACACAAGAAAGCACCACCCAAGCAAGCCCACCCCCCTCAAGGTTAATAGCAAAGCCTGCYCAGCCTGGAGGTCAGTCCCTGGATTTTAAAATTGATCTTTTGTACRTGCTCGAGTTACTGAAACCTGCACACCACCACTAAGGATTGCTCAATAAAATAACTGCTGCCTCCCTCCAGCTCAGRAAAGGTCATTTCTTGGTTAAGGAATAACAGGAGAATAGCAGAATTTTTTCAGCCACAGGAAAAGAGACTTTTTTTTACAGTCAAGTGTTTTACCTGCACTTATTAATCCTCAAGTCTCCAGAGAAATGTGTAAATAATACACTCAGTTTGTAAAAACTCAGAAAATCACCCAGATTTTCAAAACACGCCTTCATTTTTAATGCCAAATTTGAAACAGCTACAGGCACTTTTCTGAAGACCTGAGGACATTTCAGTGACAATTACAGGGACACATTTTGCCATATCCAAGTCAGGCCCCACACATCTCAGGTTGGGGAATTTATTTATGTCTCCCCATTTCCCAGGCTTGGTTTCTCCCAGAGAGGATGGAATTGGGGGAAAAAATGCATAAATCCAAAAGTCATGGGTTGTTTTTCCAAATGTCACTCCCTGCCAGAGCACGGCTGAGTCATGACAAGTGGGGATGTGACAGCACAGAGCTCTGTTTCTAAAATTTTCTTCCCAGTTCCTAAATTGACCCTGGCATCTCAACAAAAAATGCATCAAAGCTCCAGAGGTTTCCAAACCTGCCCTGCTTTGMGAGCACCCAAACTGTGTATTTACAATATTATTCACTTCTCTTTTCCCTGCTTGGTTAAAAGGTTTGCCAGAATTCCTTCAGCTCACTGGAGACACCAGAAAGGTGTGAAATTGGAAGGAATTGATTTTGTGACAGGAGGTAAAGTARTTGATGGTGGATTTGGAAATGAAAGCAGAAACTGAGGATAAATGAAACCCCAGATTTGGAAAAACTGCAGCTTAGACAAACCTTTCCCTTGAGCTGACATTTCAGGTCCCTCTGATGGAGCTGCAGAAGCCAAGAAAATTCAGGAGMAGCCCCTCAAGGGTGTCACCTGTCCCACAAGGACCCTGCTCCAAACCCTCACCACTCCAGCTGCGCTTTTGGGATCTCGCAGGAAAATCCTCAGCACACTTTGCTGGCCTCCACTTTCCCCTTTTCTGTGAAACCAGCCCATCTAAATGCCCTGAGCTTCCTGCCTGGATTAGCAAGGGCTGTTTGTGAGGATGCAAATGAAGCATTCTTCACTCCAGAGCTGGATTCTCACACTGAGCTCGCCACTTTGGCCGGGACCGGAGCCACTGCCAAGACAGCCAAGGCAATGCCATCATGGGTGGCTGCCCCATGAACATTTTAAACACATATCAGGGACTCTAAACCACRCATTTCATTGCTGTGTTTTACAGAAACTACGTGGAACTTTTTTAATCCACCTGCGGCTGCCTCGGCTTCTGAGAATCTCAATTTCTGGCTGTTTTTTGCAGTTTTAGAGGCTCAAATCAACACAGGGTTTTGGCAGCTGAACAATGCACATGTTCCTGGAGGAGGAGGATATTGATCTAGACAAAAACACCCCCCACACACAGCCTGTTTGGTTTTCAGGAACTTTATTAAAGTTCCGGTGCCTGTAATAAATAATAAATTCGTAATAAATAATTTTTTCTGTAATTAATTTTTTAGTTAATGACGACACAAGGTAAATATTGCACCTGATCTCTTCGCTTGTGCATTTACTGCCACTTGGGTTTGAGGAGTTTAAATCATCAGAGATCAGTTAATGAATACTGACCCCTGACACACAGCTCAGCTTCACATGAAAATTTAAACAAAACTCTTCTGTCGTTGTGTTTTACAGAATTTTTCTCCTTTCTGTTGCCCTTAAGACCTCTTCCTTCCCCCCCCAGAAAACATGATTGACTGCAGATACCCAGCAACAGGTTTTGCCTTTTTCTGTGCCCATTATTTTGTTTCATGCATTTTCATTTCCTCCCTTTGCACCGAGCAATAAATTAAACAGTCACAAGCTTAACTCTCATCACTCATTCCATGACTTTTCAGTTTCACAGTAATTTAAGAGGTTAATACCAGTTCCGACTCAAATTGGTATTTCCTACCCTCAGCCACCCCTCCACGGATTTTTGATGCATGGAATGCCCCACTGTCAAGAAATTCCTACAGCTTCATCTCTCCAGAATGTTCCCATTCCCCTTCATATACCATGACCCATTATATGAAAACGACTGTGAAAATGTATTTCATTCCAACATGAGAAACTGTGCTCCGCTCAAATTGTTTTGCAGATTTAAATTTCTCCTGTCCCATAGCAGCACGTGAGAAAAAAAAAAAAAAGAATGTTCATGGATCCATTAACCACCAATATACTGTTGAGAGCAAGAAAAAAATACACAAGGTTTTCAAAGCAACTTCCCAGCATGGTAAAAATCAYCCTTATTTTATGGATGAGGCAATTAGACTGAGGAAAGAATATATAATTTTTTAACTAAAAGCTTTCTATCAAGGCAATCAAGCCTATATTTCCTAGCTGTCAGCCTCATATTTAATTTATGCAACCTGACCTTCCCATTTCAAAAACCTTACCTGGCATCTCCTTTTGAAAGGTTGGTGTTTACAGGGTGAAGAATAACCTTGTTTGCATCCACATCCACCACGCATTTTGTATGCAGATCAAGCTCTAGAAAGAAATGAGAGAGTGTCAAGTGCTGCTCCTAAAGCACTGGGATTATACACACCATTACTTCCTCCAGACACCAAATTTATTCATGCAGGCTGACAGCCACCCATCAGCCAGAGAATAGAAACAGGACTATTGCCAAATTCCACTTCTAGGGATATTCTGACGGGATGGATCCAGTCCAGCATTAAAGCCAGCACTCTTTTCAAAACGAGAAAGAGCACTTGGGTTTCACCGGAGGACAATCAGCATCGACAAGGGCAGGATGAAATTTCTTCTGCAGGGGAGGAAAAGAACCATTTAGGCTCGGGACCACTTTGACAGCTCTTCTTATGGCTCCCTCAATGCCTCCCAGGCTCGAAGGGAAAGCTGCCCCTGCCATCTGCAGCACATTTTGCCCGGCCACCGCTGTGATCCGGTGCCAGCTGTCAGTCCCCGGGCACCTGCTCGCAGAAATTCCGAGTCCCATCAAAAATAATTTAGGTGCAAGCATGTAGAAAAAGGCTTGTCCTTCCCCCCACAGGCTCCTGGGAAGTTCCAGCTCTCCCAAGTGACAGTGAGCAGCGGGATGTGGATGATGAGTAACGAGGATGTTTGGAGGGTGTGAGAATTCTCAGCTGAAAGCAAAATAAAAGTTTCAGATAGCACTGACAGSAGTCCAAGGCATCCACCCAGAGACAGAGTTAGGGGTGGGATAAAGCACAGCCTGCACCCAAAATCACTGCTACAGACACCCAGAACCAGGGCTCTGACACAAGTATGTCCCTGACTGGTGACACTGGCCCTGGAAAGGGATCCCAAGGGCTGATTCCCATGGCCACGACACCTTGTTCTTAGCCAAAAATCACAATTCTGATGGCCATGACACACTGTTCATGACCAAAGTCACAATTTCCATGGCCATGACACCCTGCCCACACCAAAAACCATGTCTACAGACACCCAGGACACAAGGCCTGGAAACAAACATGTCCCTGCATGGTGACACTGTCCCTGGAAAGGGCTTTAAGGGGCTGACTCCCATGGCCATGACACGCTGCTCTTAGCCAAAATCACAATTCTGATGGCCATGACATCCTGCTCACAGCCAAAGCCACAATTTCCCTAGCCACAACACCCTGCTCACACCCAAAATCACAATTCTGATGGCCATGACACCCTGCTCATWCCCAAAGTYACRATTCCCATGGCCATGACACCCYRCTCACAGCCAAAATCACTGCTACAGATACCCAGGACACAAGGSCTGGACACAAACATGTCCCTGCATGGTGACACTGGCCCTGGAAAGGGCTCCCATTCCCATGGCCAYRACACCCTGWTCATGCCCAAARTCACAATTCCAATGGCCACGACATACTGCTCACACCCAAAATCACAATTCCAATGGCCACAACACCCTGCTCACACCCAAAATCACGATTCCCATGGCCATGACACCCTGTTCACAGCCAAAAATCACAATTCCAACAGCCATGACACCCTGTTCACAGCCAAAGCCACAATTTCCCTGGCCACAACACCCTGCTCACAGCCAAAGCCACAATTTCCCTGGCCACAACACCCTGCTCACACCCAAAATCACGATTCCCATGGCCATGACACCCTGCTCACGCCCTCCCACGCTGAGCTGATGAGGGGCTACACTGAGTAACCTCCACTCAGGGTTCAGCACCTCAGCTGAATCACCCAAATACGCCTGTGTCTAATCATGTTAATTATAATCCTCATCCTCCTTCATCTCTGCTCTTTCCTCCTCGGTCACCTGTACTTGCTCTTTCACCTCACGGCACCTTATAAACTCAGACTGGAAATCTCTCAGGCAGAGACCAGAGATTTTATTGCACAGCACCTTGCAGACTTCACACTCCTGATAAATGACATAATGACATAATTTCTCCGTTTCTTCCATGGACATTTTTGGAAAGAAACATTACAGCCTTTTGCTACCTGGCATGCAGCAAAGCAAGCCAAAGCTTGAGATCCCTGGCCAAAGCAGGCAGTCACATGAAACTGAAATCCTCCTGAGCAGAACTGCTCCTCTGTTATTAAACTCGGCTTCTGCAGGAGGAAGAGCCAGATGAGTTCCAGCAGCCAGTGTTTATTTTAATTTCTCCCCACACCCTGAAAGCCAATTTACCTATCATTAATATGCAACGCATGCTCGCCTGGATGAAACCATGTTCGTCGTACGTCCGTATCCGACGAGGATATGCTTTATCTSGGTCTGGCTGGTTAGTGATTAACACCCTGTGCTGCAGTGACCTGCTTTTCCCAACTCCTGGGGAAGGAAGGGTTTTACCTGCCTCATGCAAAGCATAAGGTCTGCGAGCAGCACGGCCTCTGTCGAGTTTTTTAAATGTGGCTCTTGAGAGAGAACGCCCATGGTTGGTTTTGCATCCCTGACTGCCCGGTGAGCTCAGCCTCACCATTAAACCTCTTTGTGAAATGCCATTGAGAAAGCAACAGGGGAGAAGAGACTTCCTTAAAGTCAAATATCCTCGCAGGAAAAAAGATTCCAAGCCAATTTGTCCTGGGGAATGCACCTTGTCTGATTGTCACCATTGCTCAGGTGACGTTCAAGTCCCTTACCAAGGTGTGCAGCAYGGTTTTGGAAGCTGTGGGGAGCCAAACCAGCACCAGGGAGGTGCCAATCCTTCCTTCCTGAGCTTTCTGCTCACCTTCTGCCACTACCATGCTCAGAATAYCATCTGTAAATGACTTTAACAGCAGAAACCCACCCAGCATGGAAAATGGATGTACCCAGACCTCACAGAAAGCTCCATTCCCACTGGGCCACACAAACAGGTGAGGAGACCTGAGCAGAGGGGAGAGAGGAGCTGGAAGAGACCTTGTCCCAGCAGCTCATGGTGTCACATGAAATAAACCCCTACGAAACGGTTATATTGAGCCTCTAAGCTGGGTGTGGAGCCAGACAGCCTTAAGGCTGCTTATCCCAGTTACCTTGGCCAAAGGCTCACATGGCTGGCTCTCCTTCCAGCTGGAGAAACACTTTAAATCCTGTCTGAACAGCACACCGTTCACTTTCTTCAAATTCTAGCTCCATTACATTCCTTGACAGATTTCTGAATTCTTTAATGCTTCCGGTACACTGAGACATGAATCTTAYATCAGCCACTGCTGAAACTTATATCATCATCATTTCCACCTCATTAAGCTTTTAATATCACTAAAGGAGGTTGGCCTTACAGCCCAATTATCTGCCTGCTCTTTTGGATATGATCACAGCAGGACTCCACCCTTACTTTTACTGGTTTCAGTGTCTCCCAGAGCTGGGTACTTGCTGCTCCTGAACAACGAGCAAAATGAGGATGCAGCAAGATAAAATCATAAGGATGCACATCCAAACACCCCAGTTAATTCATCCTGCAGGAAGGACTCACTTGTCAAAGTTTGGTGTTATTTTCTTCAGCTATTCAGGCGTGGTTTTTTCMAGCAGCACRAAATTTAGAAATTAAAGATGAAAWTAAAAGATGACAGAAGCAGCTCACTGTCAAAGCTTGGAGATTTATCCCAAATCTTGCACCTCAAACAAAATCTCACCTATTATCATTGCTAACCTGCTTCTACCTCCAGTCATTACTGAGCAAACACAATCAACTACTCATTTGCTTCACCAAATCAAGAAACTAATCAGCTAATTGCTCTTTGAAGAGTTAAAACTCCCAGCTCTCAACATCAAGAACCATTTATTGCAGGGAATGAAAATCTCTTTCACAGCTTCAGAATGAGAGAGCTGTGACATCCATAATAAAAGGGTAACACGTATCTGAGTCACTTCTCCACATTTACATTTCACAGCTGCTGGAAGTGTTAAGCAAAGCTGGGCTGAGTGTAAGAAGAATTTTTAAGTGTTGTGTGTCACAGGGAGTTCTTTGGGTGAGTTTTTATTTTACTTGTGAAACTGGAAAGTGGGGGTTGAAGGAAGCTTCTCTCCTTCCCCTTTCCCTTGATTTTTCACTCCTCACGACAGCTTTTCTAAAACTGGGATTCAGTGTAGAGCTCAGCTGGAACCACACTTGTGTAAATCCCGAATTGCTATTACACCTTTGATAAAATCCTTGTGGGTGTTGTAAAAATAACTCTATTCCCCATGTATGCTTTRGGCTTTTTCACTGAGAAATTCAACACGGTTCAAACAGGGTGGAAAAGTCAGCAAGCAAGAGAAAGCTGGAAAAGCAAACCCAGGAGCAGCCCAGCACTGCAAGGAATGGTGAATTGAGCAGGCACTGSTCTGTTCTCACCACAGGTAGGAATTTCTGATCCCTCTGTAAGAACAGTCACGTGCCTGGCAATCATAAACTCATCCCAGCAGATTTTCCACAACAGAGTTAGGAAACACTGGCAAAGGTGCCACTTGAAATGGTACTGATCAGGTTTGGGGCAAAGATGAGGAGCCTGTGTGAATCCTGGGGGAAGGGGAGAGAAGTATTTTGGAAAATGTTGGGTGTTTTCACCTCTGGGAGATTTCTGCCTTTGCTGATCAGGTGAGGAACTCTTTCCACGGATTGGCTGCAGCTCCTGACAGCAGAGGTCGGATAATGTGAGATGTGGAACAAACCCGTGGCCTTGGGTGGCACAACAAAACCACCTGAACTGCCACGTGGTGACACTGCAGCTTCCTCAGCCACAACCCCAAAAACCAGCCCACTTTACATTCACTGCATTTCAGATCCAAACAAAATGATCCTAAGAGATGGCTCTTGCAGGGCAGCTTGAAAGAATTTAAAATTAACAATGATATAGTGAATAAAGAGGTCTGCAGGGTTTTAAATTCATGGCATCCTAAAGGCTTTTAGTCCCACAGCTAGGGTAGATGAAGGGTCTGTTACAAATTGTGACCCTCCATAGATTCATCTTTACATTCTCTGTTTTTTTCACATTTTATGCCCCCTCCAGAACCTAAAGGGGCTCCAGGAGAGCTGGAGAGGGATTGGGGACAAGGGATGGAGGGACAGGACACAGGGAATGGCTTCAAA